TACTTATAAATATACATACGCCAAGTCCCTTTCTCTTCACTCTCATCTTGTTGCTTCATCTGCACTGATAAATTTCTTGCATCAGAACGGCTCCAGGTTAAGCAAGACGTACCCTTATTTTCGCCTCTCCTATGACGTCAATAATTCTCTAAATTTTTAGAATAAAAAGAATACGTATGTGTATTCTTGTTCTCTTCAGACTTAATGGTATGAATGTAAGCAGCTCTTGAATTACATTCCAGATATCTATGCCTGGGGCTTTGACTTGATGTTATCAACATCTATATGGTGCCATACTTGCTCTTTCGAACTATATCATCCATTCATGGTAAGATAGTAACACTTCAATTACGGAGTCACAGCATCTTCATATCCATCCTCATCATAATCAGCATCACCATTACTATCACTTGAACAATAGTATTGATAAAATATGATAAAAATACTGCTATTAATGATTATGATAATAATGATTATGAACATAAAACTAATAATGATAAGATTGAAAACAATAACACAAATAAACAAAATAATGATAAAAATCATCACCAACAGAATCATCGTCTTTCCTTTTCGTTAAAATTTCATGCCTCTCCACCTTTTCACTCCTTTATCTCCCTATTTGGTAGGCCGTTTTATCCTCATACCGCCATTATTCCTCTTTCACTGTCGGTTTTAGTCCTCTCAGATCACTTGAAATATATTCTTTCCGTATTTTCTCCAAATATTTACGGTTTTTATCCTCTCAAAGTCCTTAAATTTTCACTTTCTGAAAACTCTCTCTTTCAGTATTCCTTTGTCTAACGTCTTTTTCTCTTGAGCTTGCTACCACCACCCTTCCCTTCAGTCCGTCTCTTCCCTATTTACACATAAACAAACCCCTTCCTGAGCATTTAGCCCTGAATCCTTCCATCTCCAAGTAATTTGATGCACCGATCTCCTCCGATGCTCCGTATGCACATGATAATGGCCGTTAATTCCATCGTGTCCAATATCCTTCCTTTTAGTCAAGGCTTGTTTTTCGAGTTTCTTTTTTTTCACACAAAACTCCACTTCTTCCTGTGAAGTATTTCGTCTCTTGGCTAGTTCATTCAGCTTGGAATACATTTGTTGATGCTCCGATTCCTTCAAAATCCTCTAATTCTCTGTTAGTATCACCACTAACGCTTCTAACCTAACCTTTTGGCATGTTCACCTTATTGCAAACCCTTCTGACGTAACTGCAAGATGAAATTTAGATTTGAAAAAAAGTAATTGAGGATTTTATAGCTTGTGTTGAAAGAGCAATTCCGGTATTACTTTCCGTTAGCCTGAACTGAAGATTTAATCAATAAGAAATTTTGATTCTTTCGCGGTGATTTTTTTTACAGAAATTTCTTGACTAAGCTTGAGGAAAGTTCGATAGCACTGGCCGCTTTCCTTTATCTTTATTTCAGATCTTACAGATGAAAACGCAGACCGCAACGTACTCTTTAAGACAGGTACGGGAAATACGAGAACTATGTAGACGCAGTCATTTATGGCTTGCTGCATTTAGCAGATGAAATAAAACTTTTTATTTTCCACTATTTCCCAGTTGTAACCAACAATAAAGAAAAGGATTTATTAAAGAGGAGATTGGGAAAATAACTGTCCTTCAACAGACAGCGATGAGTCCTAACAAAACATCTAACTCAGTGATTTGTAGGCATATGAATTATAAAGTTGTATACGGTTTTTGTTTCTCCGCTTTTGTAAAATGGCAATGTTAATGATAATGATGATTATGTGTGTGTGCATATGCTTTATGGCATTATTATTATCACCATCACTATTATTACCTCCATTGTAGTGAACGACCTGACTGTAAATGATAACACAGGATCAAGCGCCTTCTGTGACGCCTGGGGTTTGCCAGTAGTGAGTTCATCACTGCAAAATGTATTACCAAAGGCAGAGTATTTAAACGTAACGGAAAGTTCTAAAATTATAAATTCATCCAATATTCATAAAATTGGAAATGAAAAAGTATAATTATTTTGAAATACTGAATATAAAAACGGTTTTAAAATAGATACAATAATAATACAAACCACAAACCCTCCTTCACTCTCGAATACAGGAGGTAGATTGCCTCTCGTTAATTTTCATCTGATCCTCACGGCCCCTGAAACCCATTCATGGAGCACTTAGGGATCCTTGGACCCCAGGGTAAGAACCCCTGTATGAGACAAATATAGATTATTTAGCAAATGTGTTAGGGGAGGTTCACAGTTTTAAACATTTTCACGTGTACAAAGCATACACGTTTTGGATACCCCCCCCCCCCAAGGTTACTTTATTCCTGTCACCTTTGTATAAAACATCTCAAAATGCTGAATAAGAGAATGAAAATATATACCACTGTACTCTTATGTGTACATTACATGCATTAAAATAAGATGGTAGGGAGGTAAGGAGAGATGGTCTACTTACGAAAGACATCATTCCGACACTCATGTCCAAGGATGCATAATTATTACCAGGAAAGGAGTGAAAATATTTTGCATAAGCAAGAATAGCGCCAGTTGGTTTATACAGCATGTATTATGAAAAAGATCGACATTTTTATTTTCATTTTGGAAAGCGTACAGCAGTCCGTGATGCCCTCCCCTCCAACGCGCGGATTCACCCCCTTGCCTACAGCACAACTTCGAGCAAAACAAGACCACATTTTCAAGTTTCCTCCTCGACAAACCCTGCTCAAATAACACCTCTGCAAAACTACCGTCCACAATGTAACTATCAAAATTTCAACTGCGGGTAGCACTAGCGAAACACAGACTGATTGGAATCTATAAATCTCAAAAAAAAAAAAAAAAAAAAGGTGAGCCACCCCTTAATATCTTTCTGATTTTCATCATTAACTCTCAAGATGATCGTTTTGCTAACAACTTGTACACACTGTAGATAATGTTTGNGCATATGCTTTATGGCATTATTATTATCACCATCACTATTATTACCTCCATTGTAGTGAACGACCTGACTGAATGATAACACAGGATCAAGCGCCTTCTGTGACGCCTGGGGTTTGCCAGTGAGTAGTTAATCACTACAAAATGTATTACCAAAGGCAGAGTATTTAAACGTAACGGAAAGTTCTAAAAATTATATAAATTCATCCAATATTCATAAAATTGGAAATGAAAAAGTATCATTGTTTTGAAATACTGAATATAAAAACGGTTTTTAAAATAGATACAATAATAATACAAACCACAAACCCTCCTTCACTCTCGAATACAGGAGGTAGATTGCCTCTCGTTAATTTTCATCTGATCCTCACGGCCCCTGAAACCTATTCATGGAGCATTTAGGGATCCTTGGACCCCAGGGTAAGAACCCCTGTATGAGACAAATATAGATTATTTAGCAAATGTGTTAGGGGAGGTTTCACAGTTTTCAACATTTTCACGTGTACAAATACACGTTTTGGATCCCCCCCCCCCAAGGTTACTTTATTCCTGTCACATTTTGAAAACCTCAAAATGCTGAAATAAGAGAATGAAAATATATACCACTGTACTCTTATGTGTACATTACATGCATTAAAATAAGATGGTAGGGAAGGTAAGGAGAGATGGTCTACTTACGAAAGACATCATTCCACCACTCATGTCCAAGGATGCATAATTATTACCAGGAAAGGAGTGAAAATATTTTGCATAAGCAAGAATAGCGCCAGTTGGTTTATACAGCATGTATTATGAAAAAGATCGACATTTTTATTTTTATTTTGGAAAGCGTACAGCAGTCCGTGATGCCCTCCCCTCCAACGTGCGGATTCGCCCACCTGGCGCCTTGCCTACAGCACATCTTCGAGCAAAACAAGACCACATTTTCAAGTTTCCTCCTCGACAAACCCTGCTCAAATAACACCTCTGCAAAACTACCGTCCACAATGTAACTATCAAAATTTCAACTGCGGGTAGCATTAGCGAAACACAGACTGATCAGAATCTATAAATCTCAAAAAAAAAAAAAAAAAAAAAAAGGTGAGCCACCCCTTAATATCTTTCTGATTTTCATCATTAACTCTCAAGATGATCGTTTTGCTAACAACTTGTACACACTGTAGATAATGTTTAAACTCATGCTTGAATTCCAAAGTCTCGTGGCTAGAGAATAGCACATGGCAAGGTTAAATTCAGCATCAAGCAAGCCACTGACCCAGATCCAAGCGCAGTCCTCGAGGTTATTCTGTAGGTCAAGCCAGAGTTCTATTTGTCGTGAAGTGGTAAGTAGATATCGTCTACTTACGCCACTTATTCCCAAGGATGCATAATCATTATCAGGAAAGGAGTAAAATATACGGTGAGTTTCCATGATTATCCAAAGTTCATTCTAGGCTATCTAACCTACCAAAAAGATATTGTAAGCTGTTTGCAGCCTAGATGACTTCATGCGGTCCGGGAACCTTGTCCTCACACTCAGGGAGCAAAATACTTTTCATGTGCACATACATGTGTGCATGTGTTTGAATGCGTGTTCGTGATGTGCTTTTGTGGAGAGATAAAGAAACGTGAAAGATGATGGCACTTTTATTTTATTGCTGCTATTATTATTTGTGGCTGTGCATTTTTACAATATTTTGATTTGAAAAAATGCATGAGAGATGTCCGGGTAAAAGCATGTTTGCAACGAGAGTTTATGGGTTTCCTGATTGTAATTTATGATTCTGAAATCTACAGATCTGGAGAAACACAGAAGCGGAATGTTTCGAAAGAGTGAAAGCTTCTTAGGCTGGAATGCAACACGTGCAGTGTCCGTTGTTGCAGAGAGTGTCATTCTTTGTACCAGTACAATCGTCCATGAGGTTTATACATGTGCCATTCTTCTCAGAACACGTCTTGGGCGTATTTAGGCACACGTGTTTCTGGCAACAGGTGCAGTTGTCATTGTTGCAGAGGGTGTCATTCTTTTTCCCAGCACAATCGTCCATGAGGTTGATGCACACGCCATTATTACTGGAACACTTC